TATTATTATTATTATTATTATTATTATTATTATTATTATTATTATTAATAATAATAATATCTTTTCATAACAATTTGAAGTCATAGTTGCCAGTTCTTTTAACTGGCCTTCACATGCATCAAGATCTCCCCAAAAATCTAGGACATTGTACTATACTATATAATAATATATTTATTTACAAATAATAAAAGCTACAGGTTTGTGACTGTGCAGCTTAAAAGTGGTATTTTGGTTTTTTGTTCCAATGTGGTCATCCAAATGGTGTGTAGATGAGGAAATCCACAGTTTTAGGTTGCATAAGTCTTTCTTTCTGAGAAATAGTTCTTATTGCTCAAAACCCACTCTACGCAACTTCCACTTATGTTGTCTAGAGCTGCCAGTCTTCTGGAACCAGTAGACATTTTTGAAATTTTTAGTCTCTGGGGTTGGTGTTTGCTGCACTAGTTAACCAGGCCAGGAAATCAACTCCACAGGAAGGCTAAAACTACTTTTATGGAGAACCTTGCAAGTTGGATTGTGCTGTACCTTCTCCCCTTCCTTACATTTCAATGAATCACGACAATCTCTGTTTGTCAAGACTTGAAAAATGTTTCAGCCCCTATTGCTGACCTGAAGCACTAAGATCCATGAATCTATCTTCCTTGCTCTCTATAATACAGTATGTGCTCTGCTCCCACGAAAAGCTAGCAAGCATAGGGATTTGCAAGATTCTGCTGCTTTTATCATAATGACAAAGGCAGCACTGCTTTGCAAAGCGCTGCCCTTCTGGATGTGAAAGCAACAACAGAACCTCTTTTTCTCAAACTGACCATTTGCCCTGTAAGCCCACAGACTCCACTGCTTCCAAAGGGATTGTCCCACTTCCCAGTCACAAAATAGCTGACATGGAAGACTTAACCAGTTACAAGGTATTAGTTAAAGAGTATGCTACTTGACACCCATTTAGTCCTTCCCCATTCTCTTTTGTTTCACTTCCTGTCTTTAGTTTTTTTGGACAAATAGACCAAGCACTAAACTGCAACTTCCCATTTTTTTTTCTAAAAATGCCTTGGGTTTGAAGCAAAAAAAGAAAAAAGAAAAAAATCCCACATTTATGGAAATTTTATCCCCAAATGAAAGATTTAAAATAAAAAAAATGAGGTAAAGAATCCTTACATCTCAATATATCATTCTAATTTGCAAAAAATCCATCAGAGTCCTTTCCATAATCAAAACGTACGAGAGGAAATAATATAGCAAACATGGTTCAAAATTGCTGAAAGTTCTGAGCCAAGGAATGTATGAAAATATTAGCATTTAAAAGTTAAGACGTCACATATTGCAAGTATGCATAAAGGAAGCCTACATATTGCAAAGATGAAATGTGTCAGTATCAGGAGTTTGCAGACCATAGCAAGCCTTTCAAGTATACCTTCACGGTGAGAATTAAACACTCTCCAAAGGAAAGATGCTGTAATATTGAAGTTTTAGCAACTTAGGACTCTTCCTTACTGTCAAGCTTAATCCCCGAGATGGCAGAAATCTATTAGGGCATAAAACTATCTATATTGACATAAAAATTGCTATCCCCATTGATAATCCTTACTACCATCGAAACAATGCCAACAAATAGTGTTGTCTATTTACAGTGTACCAAGCATTTAAGGATGGGGCTTGCCATATTTCACTGACTTTCTTTTTCTCTCTTCCTACCAAATGTCAATAGCTGGCAGGAAAACATTCATCATTCATTTTCCTTAATATGGAATAGAATGTGGAGGGAAGAAAAGAAAGACAAGTTTTAAACAGATAACTAGATTGCTAGGTTTAGCCATCTGCCAAAACACGACTTTCTACAAGTGCTGTCTGTGGTTGTGTTCAAAGCAGCCCAATTCCCAGCTGATATTCAGAAGAGCACTAAGTGCATGCTGAAAAATAACCCAAGCAAAGATGACATTGTGATGGGAGTTGTGCTGGAAAGCAGCAGAGAGACAACCAGATCTGCCTCTACCATTCACCCCCTGCTATGGCACCTCCACTATTAGCTGTTTTTCAAGGTGACTTATGCTTCAGAGACCAGGTGCAGTTAGTGAAAACTCAGTTTGAAAGAAGTGGATTGTTCCTCTGCTCAAAGCAATGCCCAGGAATGAGTTGGGAGGTCTAACAGGTGAATCTAAAAACCAATTGCTGTTGGGCTGATCCACCTTTTAGGGATCACCAAATTGCACTATTGATAGCATGGTGATAGAAATGCATGAAGTTTTACCAACTGCAAAACTTGTGTCAGAATAAGGCAAAAATAAAAGCACTGGTAAACCTATGGAGATTTGATGCCACCTCAGATATGGTTTAAGGATCAAATGAACACAATGGTAAAAAGCAGAACACTTGTACATCTCTGTGCCATAATGAGATGCAAGCAAAGAAAAATTCTTAAATAAATTCAAAACCTTTGTTAAATGTTTTACAAAACAATCCAACCGGAAATGGAAGCAATCACCAAGACTGATATTATATGTTTTCAATAATGACTTACTTACATATAATTCCCACTTTTTCCAAATGCTAAGCTGAGAAATGCAGATTCTCATAAATCCTTTCATTTTCATAGCATTTAATAGGTTTGGCCTTCATTATGTTTTTAATATTTTGTTTTCTTTGTTTTTGTTATCTTTCTTTATTTAGAAGGGCAATACCCCAAACTTCTTACATGTTTGCACAACAGAATGATTTTACCAATTAAAAATGCCAAGTGCAAGATTGTTTAAATGTAATTAATGTAAAACTGAAAACATGAATATAAGAAGGTTATATCTAAAATCTATGAAATCAACAGGAAACACATTTTTCTGCTCAACAAAAAGCAATACGGTAAAGGAAGATCCAAAACAATTTCACAAGGACACATCTTTCATAGTCTGTGTGAGCCAAAGAAGCTCTTTTTCATAATTCTGACTAACTTTGTGTCCCTCAGTAATAGAACATAAAGATCTCAGCCTTTCTTCTCCCTATAGTAATAGCTCAAATATTTTTCTTAACTTCATATAATGTTTGTGCCCATTAGACACCACTATGACATCAAATAGACACTTGGCACTTAAATACAACCATTTTCCTATTGAGTAGAAATGCAACTTTTCTTTCCCCATCTGGAACAGATAGCATATTTTATTACCTTTCTTAAATTGGCCTGCTGAAAACCTTAAATAAGGCATAGCTATTAAAATAGTCTGATTATTCACTTGCAAAAGCAAAGTATATCTTACTAAACTATATTTAGTTCTGGAAATTTTCACAGGGTTTTTGAGGCTTCAATTTATGGAAAGGGAAAACTTATTTCAGGGTATTTAAAGTGGCAAAACTGTATTACGTACCTGGAAAGTAATCATATTTCAAAAGAGATAACCAGGACAAAGCTATAATTGGAACCTAAGCAAAAATAAATTTTGATTTAGTTTAATGGTATGTAATTACATTGTATTAAATTAGTTAAATACAATTATTAGAATTACTTCTCAAGATTCCAATATCTTCTATTGCAATTATAATGTAATAGAAGATATTGCAATCCAGGGAAATAATTCTAAAGTAATTTTAATAATTTACAAATTACATTACATTATTTATTATTTATAATGTAATGTAATTGTAAACATTATAAATGGCAATGTTTTGAGGGGTTTGGGGGAATTTGCAAGTCACCCTGAAGACTTTTGGTATAAACATTTATTTTAAAAGCTATTACAGTTTATATTTTTAGAATATTTATTCTAAAATTAAAATGATCTTGAGCTTAAATAGAAATGTTTAGAGCTCTACCATCAGCATTTGAAAAAAGTTTCATTATTAGTACTAATTATGAGGCAAATCTAGTTGTGTGTTAGTTTGGAATGTTCAAACCTTAAATTTCCTTTTTTGTTCAATATTACCTTTGTGATTTGTCTCAATCAATGAAGTTTGTTGGCTTCTACAAGATACTGTGAAGGTTTAAAAGAAAAAAGAAAATGCTTTTTCAGTGCAGAGGCCTTTCCCTCAATTTATAGAAATAAAAACAGATGTAGTCAACATAATTCTTTTAACACAAAGCTAATGATTCATTCACAGGAATGCTGCAAAAGGCAGAAGGAGCAACTATGTGAAAAATTTGATTATTTGTATGCAATATTGGAAGAACGAAAAGGTGAGATGACACAAATAATCACTCGGAGCCAAGAGGAGAAATTGGAACATGTCCGGTCTCTGATAAAAAAGTACGCAGACCACTTAGAGACAGTATCAAAACTGGTGGAATCAGGCATCCAATTTATGGAAGAGCCAGAAATGGCTGTATTTTTACAGGTATGTTGCAGAAATTTTTTTTAAAATGAGAATAGCTTAGTACTGTGGAAAGTACCATTTGAGTGTTCATCATGTACCGTATTTATCGGCGTATAACACGCACTTTTTTCCCCCTGAAAATAGGGGGCAAATGATGTGTTAGGGTTTGAGGATTAACCCCTAGAAGAGTATTGCAGCAGTAGTCAAGCCAGGCAGCCAAAGGAGAGCGGAAGGGCCCCAGAGTATACACACACTGAACACAAACACTGTTTGTAGTTTAAATAGTTTTTAATCCAGTTAGAGTTTAAGCATTGTCATTCAGTCCATTAAGTCATTCACAGTATTTCCATCCAGTAAGACTCACTAGTATAGTCCAAGTTATGAGTCCTTGCAATATCTTTATCAGCCGATAAAGATATCTTCTCCTCCTCCGGTTTCACTCTCCAGAGAAACAAACGCTGGATATTCAGTAGAATTACGCAGTAATCAGCAAACAGTAGCAAACAATAACAGTTCAGTCACAGGCACTCACAGTCAGTAATCTCAGTTAGTCGCAGTAGCACACAGTAAGTCGCAGCAGCACACAGTTACAGACAGCACACAGTAAGTTTTCCAACTTCTAATGCTTCCTTATATTGTAACTTCTAACCGCACCCTTAATCGGCTAATTGCCTGCTGCATTGTGCTTAAAGTGATAAGCACTTAAACCATGATATCTAAGTTTTATATATTTATTCACCCAAACCAAATTTGGTATCAATGTTATAACTAACATACTCCCCTTTTGGGTGAAATAAATATATAATACCTTTACAATCTTATCCCATATTTTTCACAACTCTCCTGGTGCTTACTGGCACCTTGGGCTTTAGTAAAATTATCAGCTAAATTGTCCTCCGACATACAGTACTCTAGCTGAATCATCTTACTTCTTACAGATTGTCTCACGTTTAGGTATCTTAGATCTGTATGCTTGCTCCTTGTTTTTACTCCAATATTTGTGGCCATTTGAATTGCTGCCTGATTATCTTCATGTATAATTATAGGATAATCTACAGTTATACCTATATCAATTAACATTTGTTTATACATTATTAATTCTGTACATAACAATGATAAACAGGAGAATTCTGCCTCCATAGTAGACAAACTTATATGCTGTTGTCTTATTGACTTCCAGCCTATTAATGTATTACCCAGCATTATGGCTGTTCCTGAAGTCGACTTTCTAGTGTCTCTTTCTGATGCAAAGCTAGCATCTGCATATGCACTTAGAATTAAATCACTCTTTGGTTCTAAATACAATGAATAATTCATTGTCTTTTTAAGATATCTTAATATCCTTTTAGCTGCATTCCAGTGTCTTTCACATGGTGCAGAATTGAATCTAGCCAACTGATTCACGCAGTACGATATATCTGGTCTAGACCAATTACTTATATAACTCAAACTACCAATTAAAGATTGATAAATCACCTTATCAAACTCAGGGCTTTGTACATCAGTGTTGCTAAACTCCTGACTCATTGGAGTCTTAGCTGGCTTACAAAACTCCATCTTGTAATCTTTTAGCAATTTGCTTATCTTATCTTCCTGAGATATCTTAAAACCTTTCCGTGTTTTCTTTATATTCAAACCGAGATACTTCTTTATCTCCCCTAATTGCTTGATCTTTATTCTCTTTCCTAATGATGCTATTATTTTATTTGCTTCATCATTAGTTTCAGTTATCAAAGCAATGTCATCTGTGAATAGTAATAATAATGATACTTTCCCATTTGTCTCCCTCTTAAACAGACATGGATCGGCTAAACCAGCTTTAAATCCTATATTGTCTAGTTCCTTTACAATATACTGGTTCCATTCATAGCCTGATTGTTTAAGACCATAGAGACTTTTCTTTAACAACCAACAATCATTATTATTCTTATTATCACTTTTAATACCAACAGGTTTTTTCATATAAATAATATGTTTTAATGGGGCGTGCAAGTAAGCAGTTTCCACATCTAAATGGTTAACTATATAGTTTTTACTAGCTGCCCACACTAAAGCTGCCCTCAAGGTTGCTGCCTTAAGACTAGGTGCAAACACCTCATCATAGTCATTAGCATTCTGCCTAAAACCTTGGGCTACTAACCTTGCTTTATGGATTAAATTACCATCTTTATCTGTTTTTACCTTAAATATCCATTTGCAGCCAATGGATTTCTTTCCTACAGGTAATTTGGCATTTTCATACACCTTCATATCACTTAATGAATTTAGTTCCTTATTCATTGCTGCATACCATTTTTCTTTTTCCTTATTAGGATACTTTTTAATTTCTTCAACAGAATTAGGAACTTGATTAATCTGACACACTGTGTTAGCCTGGTACCTATCAGGCGGTCTAGATATACGTGTAGTTCTTCTGGGAATTACAGGGCTTACAGGAGGACTTTGTTGAACTACTACCTGTTCATCTTCCTCATCCTGTTCAGCTATTGAATCTGTTTCTTCCTTTATGGGCACTATTTCATCCTGTATTTGTCTCATTACTTTATTTTTAAAGTTACAGGGATAACTAATGGGATTTCTATAGGATTCAATAATTACATCTTTATTGGCATCCTGTTCTAATTTCTCCCATCCTTCATGTTCTAGAAATTGGGCACTAGCACTACATAACACTTTAGATGTGCCTTTCTCCCAAAATCTATATGCCCTATGGTTTGCCTGATAACCAACGAAGAAAAATCTTTTAGCTCTATGTTGCCCTTTTTTTCTGAGTTGTGCAGGAATATGCACCCATGCTGGTGCACCAAATGTGTGCAGGTAACTTAAATCAGGTTTCCTGCCATGCCATCTGGTGAATGGAATTTCACCTGTTGTTGTATTAACAACGTTGTTCAATATGTTATTAGCACACATTGTAGCCTCCCCCCACAAAGAATCAGGTAACCCAGAATCATTTAACATTGTTCTAACCATTGCCTGTAGTGTTTGGCCTCTTCTTTCAATAAAAGCGTTATGTTCTGGCCTGTATGGAGCAGACTTCTTATGCTCTATTCCAGCTACCTTAAGTCTGTTCTGGAATTTGTTATTAATAAATTCCGTGCCATTATCTGTCACCAGGGTTATCAGTTGTCGTTTAGACTTTCTTTCAGCAAACTTAATCCAATTGAAAAAATGTTGATATGTTTCAGTTTTGCTTTTCATTAAATAGCAAAACCCATATCTAGAATAATGGTCCATAATGCTCAGTATATATCTAGCACCCCCCATACTGGGTTTCTTTGGACCTATTATGTCTGCAAATACTACTTCTAAAGGTTCTTTTGTTTTGAAACCATTTAGCCTATTTGCAGGCAATACCTTGCTCTTATCTTCACAGCAAACATTACAACGTAAATATTTATCACAAGGTTTTAACCTTATTCCTTCAGATAACTCAACTGTACGTTTTAGCATTTTAAAATTTACATGCCCCAAACGCCTATGCAATAAATGGATACATTCTTCATGAGGCTTTATATTATTAAATACAGTTTGAGCCTCCCCTTTCTTACTATTATCTAAGACATATAATGTTCCATTTAAAGCTGCAGTTACTCTTTTGTTATCTTTTTGAATTATGCAATTATTATCCTTAAAAGTAATTACATAACCTAATTTATCTAATACCCTTACTGAAAGCAAATTAAACTTTAGTTGCGGTACATACTTCATTTTTATATCCTGGTTTATGTACGGACAACGTGCAAAACCTTGACCTTTCGCTTTCAGGTTCCAGCCATTGGCAAGTGATATATGTTGAGAACTTGTAGACATTTTTATAAATTTTGTCTTATCTCTTGTGATGCAGTGGGATGCGCCACTGTCAACCACCCATAAATTATTCTTCACATCAGAGTTGTTAAACGTGGCTAGTTCAAATGCTTTCTTTGGCTTTTTTACATTCTGGCTTTTTCTCTTTTTGCAGAAACTTGCCAAATGTCCTCTGCCTCCACAATTAAAACACTTTTTAATTGTGTATGCCGTCGAAGATAAATTCTCTTCTTCCAGGTGCTTTACTTTGCTTTGCTGGTTTCTTTCAAGCTTTGAAGATAATTTCTCTTCTTTCTTATCTTCTCTCAGCTCGTCACGCTCACGCCTTCTTCTGGCTTCTTCTAGTAGCCTGCCTGTAATCTCGGTTAATGAGAGGCTTTCTTTTGGCAATACTTCCAACGAAGTCACATAGTCATCATAGCTTTGATCTAATGAAGATAATATTATGTAGACTTGTTGCAGTTCATTAAATATAAGCTCTTTTTCTTGCAAATCTTGAAAAATGCTCTTCATACAGTTTAAATGAACTAACATATCTCCATTCCTCTGAAGATGCGTTCGAAAAAGCTTCCGTGTAAGATTTATATGTGCTCCTACACTGTCCCGAACATAAATCTTCCTGAGGTTCTCCCAGCAGTTTGCAGCATTTTCTTCTCCACGAATATGGACAAGCTGCTGATCACAGAGAGTCAGTCCTATGATGCATAAAGCCTGCTCATTCTTCAGTTTAAATTCTTGTAACTTTTCTTTATCATCATCATTAGCAGGATCCCAGCTACTCACATCTGGTGGGTTTGCTATAATGTCCCACAAACCTTCTCTGCGTAGAAGTAAACTACATTTCATTGACCATGAAACATAGTTTGTTCCATCCAGCCTGGATATCATGGACAGTTGTGACAAATTTACTTGTGCCATTACTCTTCAGATATTTTGACTATTTTAAACTAATTAAAACAGTTTGTTTTTTACAGTAATGTGCAACTCACACCAACTCTCTCTGCTATATCCTGGTTAGTTAGACTATGCTGCTGGGCCCATAACCAATGTTAGGGTTTGAGGATTAACCCCTAGAAGAGTATTGCAGCAGTAGT